GTTGGGCCTTGGTGGCGAAACTAGGAATAAATCGTGAATAATATTGGAGGTATCCCATAATTGATCTTAGATGATTTTGATCTTTCGGGGATTCGATATCCAATAGAGGTTTGAATCGTTTGGGGTCCTGTCGATATCCTTTGGAACAGACAGTAAATCCCAGAAATTCCAATTCCATCATTCCAAATATGCACTTAGATGGTTTTTCTCCAGGAATCCCTCAGGAAGTTCATGATGATCCAGACATACGTGACCGCATTTCAAGTACGACCAGGTGCAACTTCATGTCATCCAATCACAGTTCAGGAAGCTTGGCCAATGGTACACCGGGAGAACATTACATCCGAATTAGTACATGTGATGCGTCTGCGCGAACGATTACATAACTGGATGACGGTCATCAATCAATGATGTGATCTATTACTTTCTATAAAACATGCTCCGATTCTATCAATAAACATAAGCATTTGCTGCTACCACCTTCTCGTGTATTTCATTGGTGTCCGCAGTTCGGGTTGGAGCCAATCCAGTTCTGAGCATTAAAGTATGGGTTCTAGTATTTCGATGTTCAATACTATTCCGATTATCATAAAGTTCATTCAAATTTTTATTTATGGACTTCTTTAGTGGTTCCAAACACAATCACATCGTCTTGATAGATCATAAAACCGCGTAAATCAGACTCAGAACTCTTTTGTGGACTGAATTATCCCAGATGATACGTGTAACGCGAACGGCAGGAAATTGTAATGAAACAATCCCCACGGTTTATTGATTGTCGTAAATTTCTGCGAATCTGAATGCAATGGAATTTGAAGGTAGGCCTCTCGCAGATCAATTTTGTAGAAAAACTGACAACCGTGTAGGGATTTCATGAAGTCCTCCTTCTCCATGGTCGTCGCTGCACATTTTCGCAATCGGGGATTGAGTGCCAATCGGTAATCACCAAATATCCTTNATCACTTTTCATGGCGACAACATTCGGAGTTGCCCAGTTTTATGACGTCACTCGGGAAATAACTCTAGTCTTCTCCATTCGGTCGACCGCATTCAGCACACGCCTTTTCAGGAATGCTGGCTCACCATCGACCTCCAAAACTGCTTCAGGAACTCTCATTCCTCCCGCATTCTCAGTACATCGGATTACCGGCTTTCGAATTTCCTCAGTTATATAGGATTTCAGTTTATCGGTATATAGAGATAAGGAACGTCCCAGCTTTCTCATCGCCATCAACCCAAGAATAGACGGACTGTCATGTGACATCAAGAATCAAATGAGCACAAAATTATTATCCTGGGAATGAATCAACAAGGTTGTCTCAACCAGTTGCGGAAGAAAGTCAAAGTCAAAGTTTTATCATGGGCGATTTAGCAAAGCTAAAGCTTATCATGCCCCATAGGATTTTTACAGAATGTTTTGAATAATTTCACAAAGAGAAAATAACAATGATAATAATGTGCAAGATCACCCACGGATGTTGAAATTTTAAGTGTTCCAATGCTTTAGCAAGTTGCGATTTAAATAGTTCAATTGCAGGAGCACACCACACCAGATGGGAGAGAATTCCATGCGCCGCACACGAGTGATACCGGCAATCCACCTTTAGTGGATGCCCCCTGAGGTGATCATTATGAGATAAAGTCAGCAGAGAACGGCAAGGGTGGTTGGGTTGATGCAGTATGTGATATGCCAATATTAGGTCCCTTCGAAGTCGGCGGTATTGGGATGAGTAGAGTCCCAATATTTGCAGTCTTTCGGAGCATGTTTTGTTATATAGACCTTTTACCAATTTCGTTGCCAGCCTTTGCGGACTTTCTAGAGCCTTCTTGTCGCGGTTTAACCATGGATTCCATACTTGAACGGCGTACTCCGTGTGTGGCCCAACGAACGCTGATAACAAGCGTGGGAACGGTGCTCTTTCGAACTGCCCGAAAACACGTCTGAGTAGTCCCACTTGCTTTAGATCCATAGATGATGTTCTGGCACAGTGCGTGAAACATCCTACGTCCTCCTGTACCATAACTCCTAAATCCCTTTCATCAATGGCGTGCGGTAGTATTTGGTTCTCCAGAACGTAGGAGAAATGAGTCTTATGCTGCATGGAAATAACTCTTCACTTGGAAACGTTGAACTCGATGTCGTTGGCGATTGACCACCAGCGGGCTGCGTCGATCGTTTGTTGGAGTGCTACATGATCCTCAGGATGTTACAGTTCTCCAGATCTTAGTGTCGTCTGTAAATAGCAGTGTATTAGCCCCCAAGGACATGTGGCAGGTCGTTTATAAATGCAAGAAAGAGACGAGGCCCCAGTACGGATCTTTGAGGAACCCCCCGGGTAGCGGTGATAGCCTCTGATAATGAATCACCAACACGAACTGACATGGTTCTTTGTCGGAGAAACTCCTTGATCCAGTCCAGAACCAAACCTCTAACTCCGTAGTTATAGAGTTTTCGCAGTAAAATTTGGTGGTTTCCTCGATCAAATGCCTTGGAGAAGTCCAAATAAACTATATCCAATTTCTGGCCCGCATCGACGGATTTTGACCACTCATCCCGTGCAAGGAGTATGTTTGTGGTGCACGAACGCTTGTGCCGAAATCCATGCTGGGTCGGAGACAAAATCTGCAATCCTAAAGACTTTATTGGAGTTGGACGTACTATTAGACGAGTCTCTGCTGCTGTTATGAAATACGGCCCATGTAAACACCAAAGAAAGTTCCATCAAACCGTTCAAATTGTGATATTTGGGAACCTCATTGAAGTGCAATGGTTCAAGTCACAAGGTTTATTTGAGGGGAAATAACGTGCAGTTAGTACGATGAATCAATAATACAGAGGACTGGTGAAGCCCTGATGAAGATAACACACCTGAAAAATGAGGCAGTTCATCGGTGCTATTCCTTTGAGATCCGTTTCACTCTCAATTCGTCAGCTCATTGTCTTCATAAGTGTGTCACCCTTGAAAGACGTGTTAATTTAAATATCTCCCGCATCATTGGTTCGTTATTTTTTGCATTTCAGACTCAGATTGATAAGATGCTGATGAGCCATGTACAAGTAATTTCACAGGAACCAGTGGGAAGATAGATGTTTGCAAACAGTTCATCTTCGTGCTACCATTATGTTCTGTGTTATTTCATTTGGACTTCTTACCGGAGAACGGACACCTTTACAGAGCGGACAAATTTCATCAGTTTCAACGATATTCTCCTTATAGAGGCGCGGGATACTGTACCTTTAAATTGCAACTTCACAGCAAGGTGATGGTTAGCCTATATGTGATGGTACCATTAAATTGTTCTACATTCCGTCAATCGATTGTTTTCCATTGTTCGTGGTGATGAGAAACACACAGTCTGGGCAATCCAGTCCGGTTTTCTTCGCGTTTGGCAGTCTACATACATTTTGTTGATTTACCTCCGGTTAATTAGGTCATTCTTCTGATGAAAAGAAAACCCAGATAATGAGGTCAGAATGAGGGAACGATATGGAGGACTTTATGAATAAATTAATTTTATTGTTCTTGGCCAGAATGTTTTTATACCCGTTAGTGGAACAGACAATTGAACTCGAGAGCCTACTTATTCTTATTACACACTCGTATCCATATGCTACAACAAATTTGGAAATATATTTTTAAGAAGATGTGCTTAAGCTGTTACTTCATTGGTATCAATTATGAGACTATTTTGACGAGTTCCCTTGGTTGAGTTGGGACTATTAGGCAGTTACTACTATCAACTGTATTCTCACAGGCTTTAGGCACTTCCTCTATCTATGTGCCTCTGCACCACCCCCGTGTTAGATGGATACTGGAAGGAGACAATTGACTGCCGAAAGATACACATTTGTAGATAAAAAACAAATCAAACAGACCATGAGGTCATTGTAAGCAGTATCAACGGATGATTTCTTAAATGATCTCTGAATGAAACAAGTACCGATATGCATCATACAGGCTAATACAACGAATATTTGAAACATTTATTTTTCAATTGATAATTTGATTATGGAAAACAAAGTTTTAAGATCTTACGATGCTATTCGGTCTCATGATTTCTCTTTCATGCTTTGACTGGCATACCGATCAGCGCTGTAGAACAAGTAGATAACATTGGGTTCTTGATCTCTAGTTGGGTCGCTAAATTCGCGCACCGCAGATGGGACCCAAAAAGGCCAAACCAACTGTAAAATACTGCATCAACATTTGGTTCACGGTTCATTTTCCCCGCATGCAATAAAATCATCACATAATGAAATTCCATCGTATACCATTCCCATGTAGTAAACGGAAATAGTGGATGATTCAATTTGTCGGATATGCTGAAAAATATGTACGGGTCAATTGGCTGGTTTCCTGCTAAATTGTTCATTTGTGTCTGCTTTTTTTCCTCTCATGTGTGTCAATATGTCTTAAAACGGCCAGTGATACCCGCATTGATCAGGAACTGACTATACGATTTTCAATTTACAATTCCGTGTTTGGCTGTTACAGGCCATACAGATGCATTGAAAAAAGGGTGGTAATGAGGGATTGTGGTGAGGGAGGGAGGGAGGAAGAGTGAGTGGCAACAAATAAGATATGGGAATAAATAAAAACAAGAGAGTTTTCTTGCCGATGGAAGAATATCCAATTGAACAAATACGACTGAGATATGTCGGTAATTGGTTGAAGAAAATAGGAAGTGAGAATAAAGTATTAAAGATTTAAGTTAATGACGGTCGGACACACATCAACGACTGATACATAACATCTCTTGGTTATGGTTCTTCCATGAGTATATTTCACACAGGTTGAGATTTGATTGGTCGTCAGGTCAGAGAAAAATCGGTACTGGTTTCACCGAGAAGTTTTACACTGATCAACATGTACCATCATCTACAGAGACATTTCGGTCACAGCGATGGGCAATCCTAGTGAGAACACAGATCGAACTGTGTTGAAAGTTATGAATGAAGGATTCTAGCCACTTGGTTCGCATCAAATCAGTGTGTGGGTTTAACGAGCCGGTGAGGCACGTGCGGATGGGGGTCTCCAGGGGAAGCGTTCCACAATACTTTCTCGACTTGCACTTTTTCGGAGGTTGTCCATTGAGGAAACCTTCAGAGGGAGGATAAGGCGTAAAGGAAAAGCAAAACGGGGGGAGTACAGAAACTGTACCGTTATGTGATGCACTATACAAAAACAACGGGAACGAAGCAAAATAACAATTTCGGAACTTTGAATGCGATAACGCATATCCAACCGTTAACAATACCTTTTTACGGGGTCGACTAGTAACGTCACATCGTGTGAGGTTCATAGCAGCAATCTATAATGGTCCAGTGAGATGGTGAAATATCAGGAGAGGAATATGCTTCATCCAGATCAGCGTCATTTCATCAAAATTAGATCAATCCTGTTCAAATATTCCGTAAAGGAATCACCTTGTGATTGAAATTTTTTTTAGGTTAATAATTTTTGTGGCCTGCGGTCAAAGCTCTTTAATTCATAAGATGAAGTAATACATATGCCTAAACACCATCAATAGGCTCGGAGTGATTTGGCGGATTTCACGACTACAGTTGACTACCGAAATTCTTTCTGATGACCTGCATTCGAAATTTCAGTTGCGGAAGTCGTGTTCATTGATCTCATATAGCAGAGTTGTTTCGACTGGAGTGATAGATCGGGAACTCATTCTACGATAAGGCGCATGAACCACTCCATGAATACAGAGTATATGGTCACCCGACTGATTGAGTGTATTGGGCACCTTTGGTGTGGCAGTTCCAACCTTCTGTTGGACGGAAGCGGAATCGAGGTAATGCTGGCCTAACTGCCTTGTTCAGTGCTTGACGCAAGGTCCCTCAAACCAACCATCAATCCTGATCTTGGACGATCGATTTCCACAACAGTTCACAAGACTGACAGAATGAAAACCAACATTCTCCTACCTCGAACTCTATGAACGTCACGCCTTTCTATGGGTTAAGCTTAATACATTTTGTTTTACCCCGGTAGAATTTGCGTCTGTTTTATCATGTACTGTGATACAACATGGATCGCGTGTTCACTTTCTCACGTATCGAACAGTCAGTGAAGAACATATTCATAAGTGGATAGATTTTGGGCGAATCACTAACAATTTCCTATGCTAATTCCCGTGATCTTTTGATGATATAATGATTTCATTTCGAACCAAAATGAATGGAACTACTGAAAATGGCGAGGGACTATATCGATCGAAACATATCGATTAAAAATGAGGACAGACACGCATCAATAAACATGTTTAGCTAGCCTATAACAAATTTTGATGAAAGTATCATCAATGATTACGTTGGTAAATAATTATCCTCATATTTTCCATATAACGACCGATAAACACGTTCAATTTTATGTCTAGTTTGATCAGCCCGATGCACCATAGTGTAATCAATTTGTGGGTAGGAAGTCGATTCAAAGCTTCCAGTGGGAACAAACAATTTCCAATGTCAGGTTTTCTCAGTGGTGAGAATGAATAACAGTTCTTTGAACAATCTGAGAGTGATCACGGTCCCTCAACTTACGTAACACACACAGGATCTTGTATTTTTCATTTGTATACGTTTGGAAAATTAAGTCTATCGGTCAGCGTGAAAATCCTGTCATTCGGGGCTAAACCATCGACCGTTGTTTTCGAACAGACGCTGATTGTACGGTAAATCTGCCAAATCGAAAAATGATGCATTCAAGCACAGATACACAGCGTTCAATCTTTGTACTCTCCTGTTTTCCCAACGGTTGTGGATTCCACTATAATGTAAATGACTAACAACGTCGTTACTAACCATTCGTACAAGTCTTATACTCATCATAGTTTATTCTTGACTCATATAATGGATCCAGTCAAAGTTTTAGTTAAGTTGTTTTCGAGAACGTAGATTTTAAGAACCAACCGAAGACACATTTCATATTCATTCTCGATTCCGTTCGAACGGCTTTATTTTATCAAACCATACCACCTGTTGAAGGTGTTCCATCTTATGGATGTTTTCCACCAATCAATGCACCTCAAAGAGCAACAATTCATCAAAATCAATTTATGACCAATAACACCAGTGATTGCCCTAGTCGTAATGGTATAGTCCGAATTCACCACCACTTACTTTTCGTAATTCCCACTGATAATAAGCCTCAGCGGCCTTTTCTGATTTCTCTCGTGCCAGCTCATCTCTTTGTTTCTCCTCTTCCGATTGTTTTACTCTCTGATTGTGCAGCTCCTCGCGTGCCAGAGCCTCCTTCCGGGCTTTCCTGGCAGATTTGTTTGCGCGTGTGTGTGTATAGTGATAAAGAAACAGTTAAATTAATGGATGTGAGACGCCGAAATACGTTTATATCAACTTTATCACCAAACTCAAATCTTCGTTAATTCCTTGAGGTCACCAGAACACTGGATCCGAAAAGTCATAACGACATTGCATCTGATTAGTGACGGCAGTCGAGTTTAAAAATGTAGATACAAACGCATTACCACGGTTGATTCCGAATTAAATCAATATATAATATTAGCATCATAAACTGATAAGAGTTTACGGCTTCTGGAGAGCAAATAAACGATACATACAGCCTACTGTTCAGTAAATAAACCTTCACAATGAGAAGCATGTTTTAGATTTCACTGATACAGATGGAAGTGGTGCACTGTTATGAATTCCGGATTCCCTTAACCCAGATGCGTTGGGAGTAGCCATCGTTGAAGCACAACACGGCCATTTCACATGCCCTGACAATGTCACCTCGGCTGGTTATGAAACGTTTGAAAACCAATTGCCGATCTAGGTGTATGATTACTAGATAAAATTTTCGTATTTTTTCCTTTTACTTTGGGGATTGCAGCCAGGAAAGGGTATACCACTGCCTTCGGTTTGATTTCATATCCCACAGTTTCTCCAGCTAACGACAATCTGAATCGATGGGCGTCCAGCCTGGCAGCCCGGTGAAAGGCCGATTTGAAAACAATTTCTTCAACGCTCTACGCCACGCCATAGCTTGCCTACTTCGGTTTATCTTACAGTTCTACCCAATGTCTACAACTTTCGCATGGTTGGACAGACGCCGTTCAAGCATTCGTAAGACGTGCTCAGATCACCTCAGATAGTGCAGTGAATCGGTTTTGCTTAGTGTGAAACTATCTGACCCTAGCACACATCACCTGATCTCATCGTTACTCACGTGGCGCTCCCACCATGCGCGGGCGACGTTGCGCAGACAACGGTTGTCGAAGGCAGATAGATGCTGGACATGAACCACTGGGAGAGGCCAAGTTTCGCAGCCGTAGAGCAACACGGCGAGTACCGCTGCACAAGACATGTCCTTTCTGCGAAAGGACTCCTGCGCCAGAGATGTCGCTGATTAGTAAACGCAAACCTTGATTGATTATGCGTTGGGTGATCTCACCCACACCTCCATAAACCGTTATGCCACTCTCAAGGTAGACAAAGCTTCTAGATACTTCCAGGGTATGATTACCCAACGAAAGTGTGGGAAGAGGTTCCTGTCAATCATGAAACAATACCTTGCACTTTGAGGGTGCAAACTTTTTCTTTACTAACTCGGTTGGGATTGCTCTTCTCTCCGGAACTTTTTTCGCACACTACCTAGTTTTCTCTTTCTCATCGTCCCTTTCTGGTAATAAAGTCCCTGAAATTTCCTTAAATGGGATATTTTTGTCTGACAGAGCAACTCCACAACAGCCCAACTGGGATATCGAAGAATAAAAGTGCATTTGTCAGAGCGACTATCGCAGATGTCATTAACTGTAGCAGCATGGTTGGAATTCCAGAATATTTATTAGCAATTTTTAATGCTGAATTGAGTCAGCTCATTAGACTTGTGTATGCACTTGACCCGGTTTTTGACGTGCGGTTGTGGTTTTCACTCATTAGGAGTTTGTCCATTTCCCCTGTGTTACATAAATTTCATTTGCGAACCCAAATACAACATTTCAAATTGATGTGGTCGTTCAGTAAAAGGTGCTGATCAACAACCCTGGAGTTTAAACTTAGTAGCTCCTGTTCCCAACTCGAATATTCGCAAATCGAGTCCCGTCAGGAACACAAAAGCAGTCAGCATTGTTTGAGAGTTCCAACAACGATAAAATAGCTGTATAATGCTCTTTGTCAAGTATCGTTAAGAGTCACATCGCAAATGAAGTCCCTTAACACTGTTGGTCCTTCTAGGGGACCTGGCTAGGAAACTCGTTCACATAAATCGTGCTAGATCTCTTGATTGGGCACCTCGGGACCAAAGTAATCGATGGTTAGAAACACTGATGTATATGGTTTCGTGCCGTAAGTAGTGGCACTCAGGCAGCTACTCAAACATAGTCTTCGTGAATACTCTATTTTCACCCTGACACTGACTCGAACATTCCAATCTTCTCAGTACTCCACCCCATCATTTAAATGGACAAAAATGCATGGTTAATGGTTTTTTAAACCAAAATTAAAACTGTCTTCGCTTAAAGCACCAGAATGATATATATCGTTCAAACATGCCTAAGTATGTAAAACTTGCGGCATCGCTGTCGAAACAGGAAGGTATACAACACTTTATTAGCACAAAATCAAGTGGTATCATCTCACGCTTTGTTTGCATTTAACCGGGTGGCAGTATACACTCAAACAGGTGATCAATATTTGAGGATTTTATTGGTAAAATTATCCACTACCGGAAAAATGAATCATTGAGAAAAGAAGTGACTGCACTTACGGAGAATATATATATATATATAAATATATATATATATATAGTTCGGTAAAGTAGGCACACCCAATAAGTTTCTCCTACAGTATAGAGAAGTCTTTGAGTTGATTTATGTCATGCTACTCTACATTAATTTATACTTTACATTTCATGGTTGATTACGAAATCGCGTAGCATTATTAAGACTGTTGCTTGAACCGAATCGTTCAATGATGTGTACATAGTATTGTTCCGTCGAAGTGAACGATCTAAAACAGTCAGGTATGTACCGGAGCGGGGTAGTGGAGGGAGAGAAACAGAAGGATATAGAGAACGAGGATAGTGAGATGATGATAAAAAAGGTCTGGGACAACTCACCAAACTTCAAACGCTTGTTCCGATTGAGCACGTTTCTCTGCTTCCACTTGGGCCTTTGCCTCTAGTAGAGTTTTTTCTTTGTACAAAGAATCTCGGTACTGTTTTCTAAGCACGGCATCTTTTCGCGATTTCCACACATCGAATGCCTGCAATACAACAAATAACTTATACATGTGTGTGAGAGTAAGTGTTTAATAAAAGGAAATAATAATACAACAAAGTACTCGGTTATATTTTCTATTCAGAAAATTCCGGATCCAAACTAGCAATAAGAACTGACCACCTTGTCACACAGTATACATGACGTTTCATTTCCGAAGAAACGTCACATCAGCACCAAGCGTGTCTAGCGCATATCGCTCAAGAATTGGAAGTGCGTGTGGCCGTCTGCTTCACAGTGCTACTTTGAGTTGTAACACAATTCTAGTTATGTGAAGTGATTGACTACAGCCACTTTCTGACAACAAAATGAGTAATAAAATCTCCAAATTGCTATTGGTTAATTTAACCCTCGGTCAAACGATGTGCGATCGCATACACGAGAATGGACACAGAATTCAGTGGGATGCTACTCCTTTTCAAATTGCGTTTATACCACACAGGATATCTATACATCGATGTGAGAACCGAGGACAACAAGATGATAAGACCAATATACATCCCATTCAGTGCACTTACGTTTTTTCAATCAGACTTATCACACTCGGGTTCGCATTCCGGTGAGTTTGGTGGATAAGCATGACTACTGATCCTACAAGCTACCCAACACCTGTCCATCACTTTCAATGCATATACAGTGGTGAGCGTCACGGTAGCTCTGCATAATGAATTCACACCGGTTTCTATCTGCAAACTCAATCGGACGGGAAGAAGGTGAATGTTGCTGTGCCACCACTTTAATATCTGGTACACCTGCATGTTTTCTACTTATTTCAGTCAATGATTTACTTTCTATATAGATTATATATATACTACTCTTTCGTGTAGAGCGCGTCAGCAGTCTTCTATGGATTTTTCAGCAATACCGTACATATCTGATGAGTAAACTGAATAGGCTTATATTTGTATATAACATCAAGCTTTACATATACGGCGTCAGCTATGCGAGGTTGGTTGATATTGCCTATGTTTACCAATGGGGGTCACCGCTCATCTTCTTCATCATATGATATTTGTTCAGGCAACAGGTGATTGAAATATGAGTCAATGCGATCTAATGGATTATTCACAAATTATCCCGCTCGTGACCACAAACTGCAGGCAAGATTAAGTCTAGCCAACTAATGCCGGTATCCACCCAGATAGGTGAATATTGAGCAGCCATTTAACCACTATGCATCAAGTAATGGAAAATAAAGTACAAACATTTGCAAATGAATGGGCACAAACATAAGGTCAATGGCGAAACCGTAGCAATAATGATCAGTTTACATTAACATCTTCATCAGATCAGATGCGACAAGTTTTGAGTTTGTGAACAATCCGGTCAAATGAAGAACTATAGAGTGCCTGTAGACTTCAGTGTGTTTTTACACGTTTATAACCAGAACGGGAAGGTGGAGAAAAAGGCATTAATTACGATCCAGATATAGGGGATGAGAACAGTCAAAGAAACTCCTCTTAGAGAATGTCTCTAAGCTTTGGAGTCCTGAAGGATGTTGATACATACTGAGCGAAAATTGAAAGATTTGGTGATGTGCTCGGGGAAGAAAACAGGAAACTCATTAGGCCAGTAAGCAAAACGCAGGCTAAAACAAAACGCCTTATGAGAGAAAAACAGAGGTAAGAAGCGATCTGAGAAACAAATAAAAAACTTAAATCTTCTGACCTTCAGGAACATCTTATTGACCGGGTAAGGACAGAATAGGTCATGGCTAAAGATAAAGCTAAGGTAGGCGACCGATGGTTGCCTATCCATGCGGTCATTTAATATGAATGAGGGGGGATTGAGATTTGATAGATCATTGTGCTTGTCATCTTTCAAAAGGGAAACATCATAACATTTGCGAGGGGGGTTCGTTAGTTGGTTTTGGTCGCTGTATTTTGGCTGCCCATTTAGATGAAATAAGTATCAGTTCATTCCTAATAAAAAAATGAAAAGCTCTAAATTGCTTCCAACACGCTACAGTGATAGATAATACACGCAAACTTTACTTAACAAATAAGATTCGCATGCCATGACTCCCAGCGTCCACATTGTTACACATGCTTGATGGTGGCGGTGGTGATCCGGCAGTGCAAGTGCTTTTCTTGTCGCCTGTTTGTAAATTCGAATCCCAAAACAACGTTTTTTTCCAGGTCACCTATTGTTATTGTTATTATTATTTTCCACGATGGTCTTTGATTGGTTGCAGTTATTTTATGAACGTTCCATGGCAAATTGACTGTATACGAAGTAACCAAAAACAACAACGAGTAACAAATAATCTGGAAGTAAAGCGATTGTCTTACCTTGTCCGTGGATGAACTTACTTTCGATGAAGACAGTTTACGCTGATTCGCTTCCTCCAGTTTCTTCTGACGTTCTTCTTCCTGTAGTCGTTTCTGTCGAAGTTGTTCACGAAAATACGTGCGCTTTTGCGCTCGCCACGCCTCGAATGCTTGTTCGTTCGATTTGGACTTTTCCAACAGCTGTACTCGAAACCCGGGAAATTGCGTGCACCAGAAGAACAATATCAACAGTTGCAGCAGCCACAACAATAACAACAAGTCACGGAGTGAAACTGATCAAACAGCCTGACCAACTATCTCATTTTTATCTATTTTTTACCTCGTTTTATTGAATATACAATGATACAATTTTCAGGAAGGGGGAAACGGCCAATTAAAGGGCTGCCATTCAACACAAAGGGGAAAGTCAGACGGTGGTGGTGGGATTCGAACACATCCTTCGGGGCGATAATTTGGTGACGTTACCACCGGGCCACCACTACATGCACCTTATCGATTCTGATTATGCATAGGTCGCTGAGCCATAAGCACCGCAACTGTATTACGTCGAATAGAAGACTTGAGAAAAAATCTCACCACGGTTTAACCAAACAGCGTAAGAAAATTGGTAAACCGTTAGGCGACCGGAACGATGTTCAACTTGTTTTTGTTTTTGTTGTTGTTGTTGTGGTGGTGGTGGTTTGAATGCGTGGTTTCATTCACCCAGTATAAATATCTATTCGTATTTTTACTAAAAGTATAAGAGCTTGATTTGAGTGAGAAAAGCGCAGTAGGATAAAACGGAATAATTTAAGAATTCACTGCACAGTCCCGTTACACATTATGTGGGTCAGTGAAAATGCTTAGTAAATCTGCAAGAAAGCACGAGCATAAATTACCAACGAGAATCACTATCAGTTCAGTTCAGTTTGTACAACCATTAACCATGCACTATCGTGCGCCGGGTTTTGGTTTTAGCTGCCCATTTGGATGAACAGTAGGAGAAAGAGAAAAGGTTGAAAGTAGGATCTATGAGAAAATCTAGAATTTCAGTAAACTGATTCTGCAGAGAAATTGAAAAGATGCACGAACGCCACTGTTTACGACACTCAGCCATATCACTCAGTGCCCCCAGTAATCGATTACGATCATCCCGAGATCACATCCAGGGAGCCTAACGGAATCTGTGACCCAGACTCCTGGTGCAATGCTGCGTAGACAGCGGTGTTCAAACACCGTCAGTCTATCTTTATCCTCTTTTTTAATGGCCAAGTTTCTGCTCCATATAGCAGAACTGTCCGAACTACCGCAGCATACACTTGACATTTAACAGAGAGTCGCATGTCGTGACGGCACCACAGATGTCTCAAGTTAAAGAGGTAACGATGAAATATGAAATGAAGTCGACTCTCGAAGAACAGTTTGACCGTGTTTCGTGGAGGTCTGAGAAAGGCTATGATGTGCGGCTGTATTCACGATTCAAAAATAAAAATAATAATTTAAACGTTGCACAAATTTTCCAAAAGAAGGTCTATAACAACCCGTAGAGATAAGGAACTGTGCAAACGAAGAGAAAAGGAGAAAAAACATTCTACACAAAATGACACCTAGTTGTTTTAATTTTGAGTTTCCATCAAGTTGATATCCCACCTGTCTGCTGCTTTGAATGATATAAAAGATTTTCATCCCACTTGACAAACGAACATCACGAGAGGGGGCCCACTTACCTCACGTTGCTTTTTTGTGTCCAAAGTTTCTTGTTTCAACGAGTCCATTCGGTGGAGTTGTGCACTGTGCGCATGTTTTCGACACCAGTTCTTGTAAGCAATCAATCTGAGATTGGCAGCATTTGTATCTAACCCGAAATCTTCTTGGTCTGGACTGCGCTGCGAGCTTTGGCGACCAAACACATGACATGACTGGGGTCGACGAGCCCCGACAGAACCGATATCACGCCGATGCGGTGTGATCGCAATGTCTCGACCACCACTGTCGGACTGCCGTTCACCAAATTCTCTTGGATTAAGCACGACGGCACTGACCGGTTTGTCGTTTAGCTGTGCCACCACTGAAATGGCGTCACCTCTGTAACAGATTAAAATGATTTGAACCAGTGTTTAATGAAAGCGGGTACAAACGGTTTTTAATCATCTCTAGCGGAAGGATTCATTCGAGATATTTCTTTTTACAACTTATAAAACAATAAAGGTTGTTATTTACAATTTGAATCACCATGAAAAACAGTGGACGTCACGGCATGACGATTGTAAATGAAGATATGGATGGATAACTCCATTACAATGCTTCCCTCCATCTAAAGCAAACATCGCCAGGACCAATTGAATTTTTGAGTTTTTTCTTGCGAAAAAGATCCAAAAATGGCATGAAACTTATCAGAAGCTGGTTTCTCTGATAGAAATTCATCATTCTTCGTTTTCAGTGCTTCTCTCTGCCTTTCTTGTTATAGCTCGTTCGCAAGCAGGATAAATATATGCTATCAATCGCGACAAATTTGGCTGAATGTTATTTATGATGTGTGGTGGTCAGTGGTGCGTGAATGACTGGACGAAATTTTTCTGTAAGTACATGACCGCAAAGTTCATTGTTCGTATTGTTTTATTTCACCGCCTTGTTTCACCAACGGACTGAGTTGAACAGCATGTCTACCAAAAATACACCCCATGTTACCGAGTAGAGATTTGTGACAAAGATACACATCTTGCCATTCAATAACATGAACATAACATGAGAGAGTACCGGATGTGCATACCTGACGCGCGGCAGTCACCGATAAACCGGTCCACTTATGAACATACTAATTATTGATATAGATATATATATTTGCATAAACAAGGCAAGGGATTTTTCCCCACTATCCATCTCATGGCATGCAAGCGCTTCTAGGTTCAACTATTGTGGTTAGAAAGTTGCAAGTGGACTAAGTTGCTCTCCTCGTCTTGGTAGCTCTGCGTTTCATTGAAATGCAACGCCAAAGATGAATTTGAAATAGAATCACAGGTATTAATGACTGGAAAATAGCTGAGCACGTAAAACAGTTCATGCAACATAAACGGAATTGAATTGTGCTCTCTTGGATTATTTCAACAATAAACGGAATTCGTAAACAATCCCTGACATTGTTTGCCAAACGATTCCAACGACCCTCCGACACTGTCCATACCCTATATCCAAGTGCAGCTTTTCGTGTCCATTACAACAAAACGGTTTGTATATTGCCCATGACACAAGATAAAGTAGCGTTTCCTGCCAGTATTTAGATATATGCCTCAATTTTTGTGTCCGGTTGAAGAGGACAACTAATCTTAGTAATTTTCAATGGTAACCCTTTTAAGCGCCCACTTCCCCCTTCCTGAAAATTGTAGATACCATTGTGTATTTTCAATTAAAGGAAATCAAAATGTGGCGAACTTAGCAGGAGGAAGTGATCGCTCTACGGGAAGAAGCACTGAATATCTTAATATCGGTTAAATTCGTCTTGCCACGTACTTCATCCATTGTTTCGAACCAACCGACATTTGACAATCAACCTTTTGAAAATAAAAAAGCTGTTAAAAGTTATAACCCATTATAGTTATAGCAATTATCATTATCACATAATGATTCTTCTCATCATATCAACTGTCAGGCTGATTATTCAGGCAGCGTATTGTTCGCATAAATAGAGAAGATTAATCCCACCCACCCACCCACCCAGATAACGCCCTAATAGCTTATTTTTCGATCATCGGATAGATACAATGCTACGATAAAAGCATACAATGAACAAAATATTGAAAGAATTGATCGTCTCCCAGGCTGACTGATATTTCAAAGATGCGATCAGAATGAAATAATGATGCCCCATTAGTGAAAATTTATGCAACTACGTTGAGTGACGCAGGGAGAAGAATTTTAGATAAATTGCACCGGCCCCAGGAATTATGGTGACAAAAATAATTTCTGTTGGCTGGCGAATCAGTTCAAATTTGATCTTGCTATTCAGGTGAATTACTGCAAAGTCCTTCAATGTATCTTTGTGCTTTTGTTCAGCAGTTTGTTAAGTGTGTCTTTCGCTGCCCGAAATAGGTAGGCAATGGCATCTGGTTAAAAAAGAAGCGGTGTTATTCGAAGAAAACTCGGCCTCAGTGGCACTTACAGACAATCTCCTGCTATGTCGCACATCTCGGGAATACAAAAAAGTGGCTAAATTCCAGAAACGGCAACAGCGAGTTAGTTAACAGTAGATGTTATTGAGTAGAACGTAAAATCGATTGGGAGTTTTGTGATGAAATAAAAAGGATTGATGAAACGTATGCTAATTCTGTTACTTGTTTTCTATGCTTATAATTATAAGGTGTTTATCTATAAGAGAATTTAAATAAACCGCCTCGCATAGCTCCTATGTATCAAAGAAATTTGAACCTTTTATGATACCTTAAGCTGGATTGACATCCGTACATTGCATTCAGTATTCAGCCCTTTTTCAGTTTCGAGTATTTAGTTATCCCGAAAGTATTTACCTTTCTTTAGGGAATTTTCTTCTAATGCAATTACAGCATACTAATTCCAGATATTCCTCTATTCCTTTGCAATGTTAGGCCAACCACAAAATTGAGTATATGGCATCTATCATAATACACAACTGTTCGGGCTGCAATAATCACACAACATCCAGATAACACATTCAATGATAACAAGTTTACAATGGAGACGGAGAACTATAAATATGGGCACTTCGGAAATCTTCATCACCAGAATGCTATCAGGAAACCTGCAGACAATAGCCTATCGCAAAGCAACCCATACGGATCAAATCCCAAAAGTAGTCATCCACAAAGCCGCAAAAGACACTGTGTCAGTGCTCCGTTCGGAAGAATCTAAACACAATACAGCACCGAAACACTTTTAAATAAATATATCTGTTTGCTCACGACGGTTAAAAGCGGAATTTCATCAAAAGAACTCTGATTCACAGAAGGAAACAAACAGCAGACGGAGAATCAGGAACAAAAACAACCGTGCCATACGTCGAGGGTGTTTGGGAAATGACAATATGACTGGTTAGATCGTACGGAATCCAAGTGGTCCGCAAACGGAACGCCTACCTGACTGTAGCTAAATTCGTTGGTGAAATCACATTCGAAAGAAACCAATCTAAAGTAGAAGAAACATCTGTTGCTGGGTATACTTAGTACATTGACTTCTTTCCCATTTTCCAAACTCTGATTGTTCGCTGTGCGATCTATTCATGATTTTGGGGTGGAAAATCTCTACCGTTGGTGTCTGTAGACATCTATTCGTTCGTTCGTTGTTGTTGTTGCCTGAGCTTACGGAAACCGATCTACACATTCGTCTTGGCGAGCATTCATCAACATCAGTGCTGTCAGTATTACTCATGACCGTAGTGACGTCTTAAGTTCAAAACGTGATGCCATGACATGATTCGCTCAAACACAGGTGTTCATTCGATCGATTGGACCCAGTTCGCACGATGATCTCTGGCGCATGACCTGTCCAATTTTATCAGTTTTCTATCATAGACAACAGTGATTGTCGTTCAATCATTCACGCAGCCGCATCAATGTGACAGCGGTTATCGATCGGTCGGAGCTGGCATCTTACTCCACAACCCCAGCTTACCAACCAAGTCGATCGCTATTTTCGTTCACCCGTTTGCGCAGCTACAATAAAGCGATAGAGCCCATCGCATTGCGCTCCCATCAGCGGGACTAATCTTACGGCTACAAACATGACTGAGGCTTCGGTGAACACTGTAACAACGATGATCACATTCGAATACCCCATAGAATCACAGAAAAATAATCCTTTGCAGATTACAAAGATGTGTTTTTGGAAAAAATCATAAGTTGTCGTTTGTCTCAGCTTCGCTGTTCGTTGGAAATCAACAAACGCGCTGTTTGGATCAATTGTAGACCGTAGTAACCGACTCGAAATCTGATCATTAACCAAGGCAAATTAACTCAATTGATCTAGGGACTTCTGGCTCAATCAATGCTTCACATTCATTGTCTTTTCGATGCTTAGTTTGATTTGAGACGAATTTACCTAGTAACTAAAACAGACACCTGATACAACATTTTTAAATGACCTATTATTTCATCATCAACCAATAAACAGGCCATTTATTCATCTCAAGACAGAAAGAAGACAATTATCGTGATAAAAGTTACGTGGAAATTGTCTAGAACATATTCAATCATTGTAAAATTGAACACGAGTTCGTTCAACCATAGATTTGCACCGCAATGTGAGCAAACTATCAAGTGATCGCTTGATAGAGGCAGGGAGTCTTCGTTCTAGAAATTTGAAGCATTGAGTTCCCTTTGTCCATTTCATCGAAACAGAAAGAAGACAAATGTCGCGAAAAAAGACGATCATCAACAGGCACATATTGGGTAAAGTCTTCAACCAAATACGATTTATCCTCTGGTAGCTGCATCATCGGCTGATTCAATGTGGGGTTGAACCCAGCTTTTATGAAAACGTTGATCAGTAGGCGCGGACGTACACACACCTAAGCATTTTTGACCATATACATGGCCATGAGAATGCCCACTGCAGCTTTTACGCTAAGTTGCTCATCTTCGATCAAGAATGAAACGTATTCTAGTAAAGGTTTTCGAAACGAATATTTGGAAGACCGGTTCACACCCTGATCCATTGAAAACCAAATCTGTTTGATCAACAGCGAAATCAACCTTAGGAAGCAGTGGTCACGATGATGTACCCTATGCGCTAGCTGGATTGCATTCCCACAAACGATTTTCTCCACCATGTGGGAACTCTCCGTGCTTTTCCCCCGTGGCAGTGAATCATACCAAGGTTGCATCATGAACTACCTTGAGCTCATCGTTGGTTTTCAGGCAACATCTTTCCTGAGATGCACTACAGTTGACAAATCACCCCATCATCGTTCATCTGGATATAACAGTGTAACCAGTTTTTCTTGAAATACAAAGTGATTTGGCCACGGAGCTCTGAGCCGCACCTAGCTGATCAGTATTTCCAACACATTCTGTTTATCTCTGGTCGATTGGCGTCTGCACATTTTGACGTCAAAGGACACTGCCTTCCATTGCTGGCATCATTGTGCCTTCCTCACAAGGGTTAACCAATCAGTGAATCAGTGCCATGTTCGCCCCATGCTGAGTGCAGATTGCAGATTGTTTGGTCAGTGGCCAACCCGAACATCGGTGAATGACCAAATCAGTGGGCATCAGAACTGTGACATATTGAGGGGGTGTAATTTTGCACAGTCAAGTCCTAAGTTATTATGCATACGATTGGTTTGGGTTTTTTAGTTGGGAGATATTGAAAATGTGACTTCTCACGGGTGCGACATAGCAGGAGATTGGCTGTACTCACTATGATATTGAGAACCTACACTGAACCCACGTAATAATTGATTCCAACATGCACGCCTGAGTATGGTGACCCATCTATCGATCCATCTTGATGTGATTCGCCTCCTTACCGGACTGACCGAGGTCAGTTACCACTGGTTCGTTCATTCTCGTCTAAAGTTCACTCGATCAACGGTCAAGGACATAACTTTCCCGGATGGGGTAGAGGAATGATAAACATTCAAACTCCATCCCACCGAAATTTTCATCCTCGCTCGGTAGCTCACTCAAAAAGAGCATTTTTGTTTTTTTATGAAGAAATCAGTTCATTCTGTTCGGAAGGGGTTTTGATTCACCCGCTCACTTTGTGGGATTCCAATAGAAGGCGACTGGTTGGATTCGCTGGTAGTCACAACGCACTCACGTGAAGTTACAACCAACGGCTTGAAGTTGCAAGTTCAATGATTGACCAAATACAGAAACTATAACCATATTGTCCTTCGTAGTGACTCGTGTACTAACACACAATGTGCTTTACCTATTCATCTCAGTGGTTTCATAAGCAATCCAATAATCTCTTAGAACAAACTTATGTTTTGCTCCTGAATCTGCACACTCTACTCGTCATTCTGCTGTAATCGGTGAGGACTGAATAAGTAACCTCGGTTCCTTTTGCATGCAGCTGCTTTTAAATAGTCTGTTCGTGTTAGATAGCACTGTTTCATCATCTATATGCTTGGGCTACCATATTTTAATACACACAGATATCTATGAGGATACGTTTTCCATTGACATAACGCGCTAACTACTGGAAAGAAACGAAGCCAAAATGGGATTGAAAACGTTTCGGGACAAACTCACTTTCCACTGTGTGTGCGTTTCTTTCGAGGAATCGGTTTCTCAATCGGGTGATCACTGCTAATGTCCACCGAACGTCTTCTCGAACGTGGACTGGACTCTCCACTGCCGTGAACGCCGTTATCATCAATACTATGAAGCGGGATTCTGGGTTGAGTAAAGCATAAGGGGAAAAGAAATGAAATTTAGATTAAAGTCGCAAAACGTAAAGCAGAACTGTTTGATCTTAGCTGGTTACCCTTGACTTTTTCAGCTAATTTTGATGGTCTACTGTTGTTGTTGTTGTTGTTGTTGTTATTTTTCTACAGGCCCAAGATTGGTTCCATTGTAACTACGGCTCAATTATTAGAGTCTGCTGCACCAAAGCAGCTCAAGTGGATAGCTCCATACTTGGCAATAATATACGTTGACCTATAAACTGGTAAATTATGTGTTGAAAAGCCTAGGTATCATTGTCAGCTAAACTGGTTGAAATATATCTACCGTTGGTCAGAAAATTAGCTGTGGGTTTTGAATATTGTTCACTTGAATGACCCAGTTTACTTAACTATAAAAAGTCGTAGATTCGATATACAAAAACCATCATATTTTTAGCAGCTTTGAGGGCATAAAAAGGAGAATCCTCGTTTTTAGTGCAAGGTCTTTTACAACCTCATCAGAATAAGAACCAATATTTTTAGAAATACGATGAAACCATAACCAAAAGTGACAGAAAACTCTGACATAATGCTATTATTTTAAGTTTGAATTTCTTGAAAGTTAAAAGTTTTATTTTTCATATACAGTTATCAACAACACACGTGAATGGATTAACTGCGGCGGAACGAATCACGGTAAACAACACAATTGAGAACAATTAGGCACGTGAAAGTTAAATCTGTCATCTTTTCGAGTCTGCTTGCATTGTTTTTATTCGACTTGAAACGATCTCTTTTGAGGGATAGAGCTGATCAAATTCCCAAGGTTTATGGCATCATTTTGCTCACATGGCAAATGAGCATAGAATAAAACACACCACCATATAAATTAGAACCAAATGGTTCCAACTAAAATTCTACCCATGAAGACCATCTTTTATAGAAACTGGTCTCTAAGATCACTTTTTCTGAATGCATTCAGAACATATAGACTGCTCCGTGATTCATAGCTGTGGAAGTTTTCTCGGTTGCAGGTACATTTCATCTTCTATACAAACAACCTCTTCGAAACCGTTCAAAAAATCCATACGCGATTGCACGTTTAAACAGACTAGCAAAAATGACGATATATATCTCACCGGCTTGTGAAAAAGCATGGTGTCAAACCAACAACGATAATAACAGAAAACGGCGGGACTGGGGTACAGAAGAGAACGACATGAAAAGTAAACAGTGAACACAGATAATACATGTATATAAAACTATTATTAATTATAGTTCCAGCCTGAAAATTGATCAAAAGAACATTTAAACCGTTCGAATTAATTCGATCAAACAAATATCACTCACATCATAATGTTCTTTGATTCTGGTTGTTTGATCTTTTTCCCATTATGGACTGATTCTGGTTCGGAATGAAAATTTTCTTTTGCCTCAAAATAAGGCACACTCTCGCTATCCTCGTTTTTGTTTAACTCTGTATTTCGCCACAGATATCGTTTATCAAAAAAGGAAAGAGTAAAGGAAGTCAAGATGAATGCAGAAGAAAAAAACAGTTGAAAATCATGCACACAGAAAAATTAAATTGATCCAAAGTACAAAGTTGAAAAAATTTACCGCTATTTCAGCCTGTGCTACAGGCTAGTGGACACCAACTTACATCAATCCAAACACTACAACATTCAGTAGCTTAATTCCGAATTTGGTTTACCATAGCTGCTTGTAATTCCAGACCGATGAAGGTCAAATCCGGAGCCTAATGGGTAGAACGCAAGCATGACATCCAAAAGATCACCGGTTGGCTGGTTAAAACGATTCATTTATCTATACTGGTTAGAGCAAGACTAATGTTCCCAAGTATAATGCGGTGATATTCAACCGGCACGGGTCAAAAGCGTAGTGAGTCGCAGGTCTTATTCAAGCTTAATCTCTGTTCTCTAAAATTTCTTTCTTTGCTCACGTTCCAAAAACGTTTTCGCTTGTTTACATATCATCTCCAAAGAATGTGATTGCTTTTGCCTATGTTATGTAACTGAACAAAAGAATCTCGAGATTTTGAGAAAATGGGAAAGAAAACTTTTTGTGTTTGCAAAAGCTCGGTTATGAAATTTATTCAGTTTCATAATGAGAGGGTTTTATTCATTCCATTGATTGTTTTGTCCTTGTTTGATGATATAACGTTCTTAGTTTCTACATATAAAGGAAAACCTTTGAAAAGAAAACAACGCAAATAAACTAAAAGGGTTGAATAGTATGCAGTAGAAATGTATGAAGCATGAGAAAGATTCGAAGTTTACTGGTAGTTCCTTGTATATCGTTAAGATGTTTTACTCCACATCTACCTTGTCAGACTTCACTCATCGTGGTAGTCTATTAGATGATATGCGTAACACATTCTTCAATGATCGTGACCTATGAACGTGATCAGAGTAAACCAACTTATTGATTTCTCACAAATAAGATAAAATGTTTTGCATCCAACCACTGATTACATAGTATTTTTTTTAATTTTTTGGACAATAACACTTGATTACTAGGTGTCTGCATTGACCAAACCATAGAATGGTGCAGTACAAGGTGGTCTGGAACATACAATACCTTAGTTAAAACTACACACATTTTTCAGTGTTATCATACTTTTATTGATTGACTAAAAAGTGGGTAACCGGAAGATACTAAAACAAACTAGAGCAAAACGTTATGGGAAATAATTTTGTAGAAAATAAACTGAACGGAACTGAAAAGAACATGGATAAAATAACATCCTTTTTCATGATCAACTTTGAGGGAAAATGTGTGTTAAGCCTAAAGTTAGTTTTATTCGTTGGTATGTATTAGCTGTATAAGGAACGATATTTTTAAATTAATTATTGAGGGAACGACCGTTGGAATGTGCACTGATCTCAGCCAATTCAAAAGGTGATTTGTTTCACTTCTTTTATTTTCACAGTCGCATAACATGAAAATGGGCAACGAAACACAAATTTAACGACAATGTTTGAAGTGATTCAGAACAAGGTATTATCACTGTGGTTTTAATATCTCAAGTTCTCCCCCGAATCAGTGCAAAGTAAATGATTCTTTCTCACTTGAATAATCTTCCGATAAAGAGCTACTGAGTTCTATTTAGTTCTAGAAATCCTGCGGAGATAATCAATTTGATCCCTGATTTCTTCAGATTGTGAGATTACTTTAGAGCCAGGGTGTGTAGTTCACTAAGCAATCTCGAATTTCTCAGTTTTGAATTACCTGAGCAACACATCTCTCCCAATACCCCAATGAAATAATGAAAGACCTAACTTACCTTTTGTAAGGCAATAATATTGTTTTCAATTCTTTTCAAAGTACCATATGTCAGACTTGAACTAATCTTTAGGCTCCGTGTGCTGTTATATATGTCAAACGTAGACAATACTTGTCACATATAACAAAATCTAACTGAATTTGACCACTTCTAACCATGATGGATTTGGTTTGTGGATTGATGTGCCAGAGTATCTGAATCTTCTTATGGCTAAGATACACTAAAATGACGCTACTGTTTTAATTTTAGCAATAAATACTGAATTATGCTCATACTCCAAGTCATTCATTCAAAATTCCCGTGAGAAATTCAGTTTCAAGTTCACCTGTTCAGTCACAGACACCTTATAGGAGACATCGCCAGCATACAGGAAAATAAAATGAACAGACCTTTGACAACAACTGTCGCATTCGTAATGTGTACCAAACAAATTCCAACCTTCATGGCGCACAAGAATTAGGTTTCTTATTCAAGGTGGAAAGAAAGCAAACTAATATACGGAAAGAACAGCAAGCGCGAACATCTATAACCAGTCTAACCTGAAAAAATATAGTAACATAAACACTCTTCGTTGATTTATTACCCTGTATCTTAACGCCTCTTAACCGTTTTGGTTGTCATTCATTGCTGAAGATTCGCTTATGATTCTGGGTTTGAGTTATGGTATTGATTTATATCACTGTAAGTTATTTCATTTTTATTAATCAAACCCTCTAAATCCATAGTCACAAGTTTTCATTCAGTAAACAGCTTCACATGATTCAAGTAAGAACTCAACTGAATCACACCTGTACATGTGATAGCAGACATGTAAATAATTTTGATTCAGATTGTAATTGGTGTTTACAATTAGTAGCCCTAGACTTAGTGTATAATGTAGATATTTGAAAGCTGTCACAAAAATAGGAGGGAGAATGCTACGGTTGATTTGTCTTTCAGTTCGGCGGTAGTGGGCGGTATTCATCAGCTTATGAAAGTGATCGAAAAACCAGAAAGTATTGCGTGTACTTCATGTGTAATGGAACAGAAATCACAACTGAGAGGTTTGGATTGGCGCTTATATTTCTCCCCGTTTTATCCATTCTAGGCCTGCACATAATGAATGGACGGGATCAAAAGAACCACAACCAGAAGATACCTTTTTTTCAAAAACGCACTGTAACTTCGACTGCTGTCTTGCTATCCGCGTCGTAACGGACTAAATCCTCTATCGCTCCCTCATTATGTATCTTGTCCTATCCCACGTGCGTCTGGGTATTGACTTTGTGCTTTTGCTCGGCTGGGACGTTATCCTCCAAGATTCGTTGATAAACATTCCGCATTAAATGTTCGTTCTCAAGGGCCGGGTCATTTACTGCTTGGAGTTGTGTGATCGCCAGGCGGAATTTATTTTTGCACTGTTGGTTTCAGCTTGCCTGTGATCGTAATTCCCTTATATTGTCACGAAATCTGAGTTTAATTCATGCGTGGGAAAAAGTGTTTTACTTATATAGTATTGGTTCCACACCGATTTGAGCTAAATCTGTGTTTCGTTTCGAAATGTAACACGGAGAATAATATTTACCGGTTTGCATGTGTAAATAAAACCTTGGGTGCCGTTTATGTATTTTAATTTATTATGGATCATAAAAACGGTATTCAGTCTTCAATCTTTCTTCAGTGTTCAGTATTCAGGGCAGAAGACAGGATATCCGTGTAAGCCCCGT